TTGGGACATTAAAATTAAGTGATTATAGACAGGATGTGATTATAAACAGGGTGATTATAGACAGGTCTGACTGTATAATGATAAATTATTTTATTATTATAATAAAAATCAATATTTTAATCAGGTAAGGTCTAAAGTATAGCATCAAACGGTAAAAAGGACATATGCGCGCAGAATCAGAAGGGAATCTATAAATTTTATTTAACGCTAAGTGTCAGCAAGCAAGCAATATATAACCTCATTTGAATCTATATACTGTTGCACCTCTTTACTCAATCGTATAAGCTAAAGTCTAGTTCCTTTTAGGACCTGTCTCAGATCGGAATGAGACCGGTCCTTGCGGTTCCGGTCCATATTCTAAAGACCGGTCCGGACAGGTTTAGAACATATTTGATAATGAACTATAACTGTGCATATTGTGTTAGAAAATTTCAAAAAAAATTATTAACAAAGCGGTTACTGCGCCTTCTTCGTTAACCATTTCGGAAGTTATCATTCAGTAAATGTTAATAATATATACCATAAGTTATAACAAAACGACACAAGGACCGGATTTATGAATCGGTCCAGAATAAAAATGGAATAAAATTAGGAACCAGGACCGACTCAAGACCGGTCTTAGGACCGGTCTAAGGACTGACTCATGGACGATCCGGTCCAAAGAAAAGATGAAAGACCAGTCTTTTTGGACCGGACCGATCCAACCCTTCTAGAGTCACCATACCTTGAAGGGAGGGACGATTTTTTTGATTTTTATGGATAGCATGATGTCATGCGAAAGTGGTGCATAGCATGCTTACCAACCTTCTGGCATTCTCACGATAGAGCTGACTGATAGATTTTGGAGTGGCATAGCAATATGTGAGGGAGGTTTATAGGCGCTGTATTCCATAAATTTATATAAAGAAGATTAAATCAAAGTAAAAGCTTATTTTACAAAATTAATTGCCTATCAAACGCTAAATAATTGTGCCTTTCGATAGGTATAATAAAGTTCGATCAATCGTAATTAATATCATGGTTTTTTTTTTATGGAAATCCTAAAAAAAAAAAATTCAATTAGTTCTATTAACTGGGCGCAGTAATAATTAGATCGTGGCTTTTCGATCCAAACAAGAATACAAAGAGGCTTTATCATTTCATTCCAAATATAAATTTTACCGATTTTTTTTTTTTTTGAAATCTTAATCCACTGTTATAGCTGTTATAGTCAATAGCCGTTGTATGTGAATAATAATAAGTATGTCTGGGAAAAAAAAATTTTTTTAATTAATTCTTATTTTCATTTATAATTTCACGGAATGATTCAAGATAAATGACTTCCATATAACTAAATTTCTAGACAAAAATAATGGTGGCAGTAATACCCGAAAAACCGAAATCTTCACTTAAATATATCGATTCTGAGAAAACAAATATAAGTAAAGATTCGATTGTTGAAGAACCAATAGTTACTGCGGTAATTATTATTATTTTATTATTATCTTTTTGAAAAGCGTTCTTAAATTTATTGATTCATCGACTTTTCTTCATTTAGGCCGTTATTACAAAAGATGATCCAAATTTACCATGTTTGACATTTAGATTTTGGGTTATGAGTACGGTGAGTCTCTTTTTTTCATGATTTCATTTATCTTGACAACTTATTCTAATGATTCTGTTTTAGTTTTTCACATCGCTTGGCGCAGCAATATCCCAATTCTACTATTTCCGTCCGAATATTGGATTTTTTTCCATCTTTTTTGTGGTACTTGTATCTAATTTTATTGGAAAATGGATGGCAATAGTACTCCCGACGAGAAAATTTCGAATTTGGCGATGGGAATTTAGTTTTAATCCAGGTAATTAATGAATCGATTGAAGAAATGTTTATATAACAAATTTATTCAATTGGTATTTTCTTGTCCAACAACAGGTCCGTTCAATGTCAAAGAACACGTTTGTATAACAGTAGCTGCAAGTACTGGAGGTGTATCAGCTTATGCTACTGTACGTTCGATTATTGAGTTGATATTATATATATATATACTGTATATGGAACATCACATTAACCAATTGTTATGTAATAGGACATCATTGCCATACAAGAACTTTTCTATCATCAGACCATCAATTTTGTTACAGGTTTCCTTTTGCTTATGAGTACTCAAATTTTGGGATATGGACTCGCAGGATTTCTTAGAAAATGTGAGGCTTATTTAAGTTTAATGGAATCGCGATTGTAAAATTTAGAAAGACGAATTTCATTGTTTTAACTTTGTATATATATATATTTGACAATGCACAGACCTAGTTCGCCCGGCAAACATGATTTGGCCGTCTAACCTTGTATTCGCGTCCATGTTCAATACACTTCACGGCAATGTGTCCGAAACGCGTGATAGAATTCGATTTTTTTCTGTCGCGTTCTCCTTTATGTTCGTTTGGCAATTTGTGCCGCAGTACATGTTTACTTGGTTGACAAGTATGGCTTTATTATGTTTGATAGCTCCATACGATAGGTTAATAAATAGGTTAGGAAGCGGTTATCATGGTGTAGGAATTTTGAATTTTACATTAGATTGGAATGCAATTGGTCAAGCTGGACCGTTATTTACTCCATGGTAAATAATAATTTACGGAAATATTTTGATAATTATTGTTTAATTTATTCACATTATTAAAATATTTTGTTTAAGGTGGGCCCAAGCGAATTACTTTTTCGGTGCTATTGCTGGTGCATGGGTCATTGCTCCACTTTTATATTATAACAATGTCTTGTAAGGGTTAAAATTTTCATTAAAAAATTTAAGAAATTATTTATAATTCTTAATCGTTTACTTATACAGGGAAGCACAGAAATTTCCATTCGTGTCTAGATATTCTTTGGATAAATATGGACAAAGGTAAATAGGTTATGGTTCGATATACGAAATTTGGCCATTAACTAATCATGATTTCCTTTTGTTATAGATATAATCAAACGGCAATCATCGACAATACCGGATCTTTAAACATCACGGCTTATGAGAATTATAGTCCAGTATATTTATCAGTTACCTTTGCCTTTTCTTATCTATATTCCTTCATTTTGATTACTTCAACCATCAGTCATGTATTCTTGTTTTATGGCAAAGAAATTTGGGAAAGGTTCAAAGCTAGTCGAGAAGAAGAAGAAGAAGATATTCATTGCAAGATGATGAGAATTTATCCAGGTATTAATTATTCAAACACATTAATGGATTAAAAACAAAATTGATGCCAACTTGAATCCTTTTTCTTTAGAAATTCCAAACACGTGGTATTTTCTAATCTTTGTCGTTATGTTATTAATTGCCATCACCCTTGGATATACAACGGAGGCGAATTTACCGTGGTGGGGGCTGCTTTTAGCTGTTGGGTTAGCAGCAATCTTTGTGCTTCCAATCGGTAAATTTTCTAAAACAGATAAAATCTTCTTATCGCAAATGACGCACTCGTATTTATTGTAATTTTTTTTAGGTGTAATTCAAGCGATCTCTTTTAATCAAGTTGGATTGAATGTGATATCTGAAATGATTTGTGGTTATATCCTTCCTGGCCGTCCTATAGCCAATGTTTACTTTAAATGTTATGGTTTCATGACAATGAGTCAATGTCTTCTCCTTGTTTCCGATCTCAAACTTGGTATTATATTATGAAGTTATCAATCTGACATACGCGTATTTTATGAATCATATCTATATTATCGTATTCTTTTGTTTAAGGTCATTATATGAAAATTCCTCCACGTTCTATGTTTGTTTCTCAAATATATGGTACAGTCATTGGAGGCATCATAAATTTTTGGGTTTTAAAACTTATCCTTATATCAAAACGACCATATCTTGACGGAACAATGGATGATCCAACCGGACAAGTGTGTCTTTTGTTTGATATTTCAAAATTTTCTTTCCAGTTTTTTTTTTTTTTTTTTTGTACTATAGAGAAAGTGAATCATTAAATCGCGTTTTCTTTTAAAAATAATAGTGGACAGGATTTAGATCACAAGTTTTTAATACGGCATCAATAGTATGGGGTTTGATTGGACCGGCAAGAACGTTTGGCGTAAGAAACATGATATTACTGATCCCACCTAACAAATACCACACTTACACAGTTCTCTCAATATTTTATTTAGTCGGATTCCATATATAACCCACTTTTATGGGGATTTTTAATTGGGTTCATTGCACCAGTTCCGTTTTATTTAGTACATCGAAAATTCCCAAACCTTAGGCTGGATTTAGTAAATATACCATTAATTTGTACTGGACTGCAATTACTTCCTGAAAATTATTCAAACTTTATCATTATGGGAATTTTTGTAAGTTTTATGAGTCAGTTCTATGCCTATAGATACAACCATCGGTAAGTAGTATATTACGAATATGTTGTTATTTATTGTGAATATGTTCCTAAAATGATATAAATTTTATTTTATTTATTTTTCATATTTTAGATGGTGGAAAAAGTAAGCATTTTTTTGATGTTATACATTAATTCACAATTTTGCTTTTAACACTTTAAGTCTTTTCTCTTTAGATATAATTATGTACTCTCTGCTGCATTTGATAGCGCGGCACAAATTGTAACGATGATTATTTTCTTTTGTCTTAATGGTGTTATTTTGGTGAGACATAATTTAATACATCGACAAAAGGTATCGTTTACGTATATGCTAATTATATGAATTTTAATCTACAAAAGGCTCCGTTTCCGGAATGGTGGGGGAACGATCATGCAACCCAAGGTGAAAGATGTTTTGCTCAAGATAAATAAAAATCAATAATTTAATGTAATGTTCGAAATGAACCGAAGGCCTAGTGCCTCAGTTTTTATAAAACCTTTCTAGATGGGATAGATCGAAATTTCGAATCGATACAAACCGGTTTCTTTTTTTATTAATAAATAAATTATTTATTTATATTTTTTGCGTTTATACATTAAAATTATATAAATCCAGTGTTTGTTCCCTTAATAATTTCCTTCGTAGAGCAGGTTTGAGAAAAAAGAATCGATTTGAGCTTTCGTTCGTATTATGACGATGTCGTAAAATTGTATTGGTAAAAAAAGGTGATACAGATGTCGCGCTCAAAATTTGTCGATTCGTGGTTGGTCCTATTACATATTTAAATCATATTCGATATACCACATATATTTTATTTCCCCTCCTGAACATTTTTAAAATACCTAAAAAAATTTTTAAAAATGGCAAAAAAGTCAGTAAAGGAGTGTGAAGTGGCAAAAGTAAAGTTGGACAAGTTAGAAAATAAGATGAGATGGAAAAATAAGTTGAAAGATGACAACGAATGGAAAGAACAAGTGTTAGTAGAATTTAAAGTAGAAAAAGGTAATGAACGAATAAATTATTTTCCATTCATTCCATTTCTATTTCATTTCGTTTATTTTAAATATTTATTTGAGCAATTATTTGGTATATTGTATATAATTTTAACTTCTTTTCATGTTAAACAGGCGTAGAGAAGGTTCCAACTGGAATACTTCTGAATCAATTTATGCCTAGATCCGAAATTTCACCATTCTAAGGTGTGAATTGTTTCATAATGTCTCTTCTCCAAATAATTGTTAAATCCTTTGTTAAATACTGATTAATACCATTATTTTTAGCTTGCAAGCTAGGATGCAAGAAAAAAGATCGGCAAGAGAATTCTCTTGCCGAACCGAGAGGGGCGGTTTCGGACTACCAGAAAAAAGGTAGTCCGGAATCGGGATGCGCGAGGGAGATGGTTGGCAAATAGATTTCCTCTCTTTTTTAACGTGCCCTTTGGTGATAATATATATGATTACTTATTAATTTTTAAATTAAGAACTTAATTTATATTTATTTATTTAATTATTTATGCTACTATATTTTATGTGAATAAAAATCTTATCCCTTCAATGGTATTGCAGCCAATTTGTTTGCCATTTTATTTGTTAACTTTAAACATTAAAAATTATTTATTAAAAAATAAAATTTATAACGTTTTTTTTTTAAAAAAAAAAAAATATTATATTAATTTGTATTAATTTCATATTTTTTTTTTTTGATAAAAAGTATAAAGGCTTAAAAATTAAAACTATTTGTAATTTAGATATTATACAAAATATTAGAAATTAGAAATATAAAAAAAAAATTTTTTTATCTAAATTTTTTTTATATAAGTTTAACTAAAAAGAAACTTACCATATCAAGAAATGT